CTATGACCCAATTCCTAAACAATGTAATGGGAGACCCAGTCTTTATTCCAGTTGCCACAGATGTCTCAGAGCTGGCTTTAAGCCAGGGCCAGTCACTCAGGTCCCCTGGGTGGTGTCGGCTCACCCTGAGCAGCAGCCCTGATGTGGGAGAAGTTGGTGCCCACCAGCCTGCAGACTGACCCACTTTGTCATGCGGGGAGGATTCAGAGCCAGAGCTCCCCAGCTTCCCCCCAGAATGGAGAGTGTGGAGTGAGCTGATCCAGTGCTCACCTCAGTGAGCTGGACCTGGGCCTCCTGGGGCTGTGCCCCCAGCACCAGGTCAGCCCCTTTCTAGGACCTGATTTTGCCCTATGTGATGAAGGTCTGTGGATTGGCTGAGCCTAAGGTTCCTGTGAGATTCAGGCAGTTTGCAGTGTGGCCCCTTGTGCAGACAGGGGCACTAAGGCTGAGGCAGTGGTGGGAACAGTGCTGACCATGGCTTGTCCTGCCTGGGGCCTCTCTCAACCTACCATGGAGCAAGGTCCAGGTCCAGCAGGCTGAGCAGGCTGTCCCTGTCTGGGCCTGTGAGGTTCGGAGTTGTCACACCCCCACATCTCTGCTATTGGCTATGACCACTGAACCCCACGGGGTCCTCCCTGCAGGTACCAGCCTCTCTACTGGTGCAGCCAGCATTTCTGAGGATTAGATGCAGTGGGACCGGGAGATATGATCAGTACCTCAGAGCACTCCAGGGCTGGAGGAGCCTGGTGTCACTGGAGTGTGGTGGAGGCTTGTTGTGGTGTGAGGTGGGCAGAGAGAGTTCTGTGCCTTGCTGTTTTCTCTCCTCCCCCTCACATGGTGTTTTTCTTTCATTACTTCAGTAATTGAACTGAAAGCTGAGGACAGGAGCAAATTTCTGGACGCACTCGTTTCCCTCCTGTCCTGAGGGTGAGTTCAGGGGGCACTGGGGGCAGCCAGGGGTAAGCGCTTCATCAGAGCCCAGCCCAATGCCTTGTCCTCCCTCAGCAGAGGCTTCTGCTTAGGATTCAGAAGGATCAGGCTCTTGAGATTTGAAGACAACCCATTTTTTCCAACCGTGTCCATCCCTAGCCTGCCAGTAGGGCCACAGTGGGGCGTTTCTGAGGAAGCTAATTTCATTAAACTTCTGGGATCCCTTCAGAAAGAGGTGGCATTCCCCTCTGCTGACCACAACGTGGGTCTGGGCACTGTGTATACAATGTATGTGACAATAGACTCCCGGGCACTGCCCTTGAAGTCTTCTCATCAGACCCTAGCAGGAGCTTACAAGGCGAGCCATCCAGGTTTTTGTGTGCTCAGCCCTTGAGAAAGCAGGGCTGTCGGCAGCTGCCACTCAACTGGGAATTGCAGAATGTCACTCTCCTCTGGCCTTCCCCAGCCATCCCCAGCGGGCACATCCTGAGGGGCCCTGCTGGGAGTCTCAGACAGGTTGCTATGACCCAGGGCGCTTCCCACTGCGCCACATGCCACCTCTTTCTTGAGAAGCCCTTTACAAAATGGGTAGGGGCTTATTCCTGTCTGTGTGACCATCTCTCAGCCCAGGGCCCCCCCCAGTAGATGCTAGATTCAACCTGCATCTCCCTGAGCCTCCCTCTGCTGGAGGCCACAGCTCCAACATAGCAGGTCCCCTTGTACCAGAGGTCCTCCCTACATCCCTCATATGTGGACTTCTGGGAGCCATGGGGGCTTCTGTTCCCCTGTCAGGGCCAGTGTGGGCTCTTTTGAGAGCCCTACAGTCCCTCTCACAGGGCTACAGGGGGCCCTGTGCTGGGGGAGGGACTCTGGTCAGACCCTTGGGGTTTCCATGAGATCTGTTGTTGGCTTCTTGGCAGGGACCTTGGGCCAGGTGCCTAATTAGGCTGAAAATGAGGCTGACATCCTCCTTAAACAATGAGTGTGGCCCATCAGCACAGGGCTCCTTAAGTGAGCAGAGGCATAAGGTTACAAGGAAGGGCTCTCGGGCAGTAGAGTCTGCATTGGAGGCAGACGCTCCCCCACCCCCTGATCTGCAGTCCATTTCGTGATGGTGCCAGTGTTGCTATGGGTGTCCGGCCACCAGGGCAGGAGTGCAGTGGGCCGGGCTGAGGGTGGGGCTGGAGAGGAGACTGGCCATGCAAGGGAGAGGCTGTGTGAGGACAGATATGCATCTAGATGGGGTCCTCATGGTGAGGGCATCAGGGCTATCGTGGAGGACAGCCCAGACCCAGGCAGGCGGTGCTGTGAGGAGGTGCCCTGGGCATCTGGGCTAGCCCTCACCCCTTAACCCTCAAGTAGTCGAGGCTACTCAGAAACAACAGCCCCACCTGTCAGTAGGACGGCCTGAACAGCTGTAATTTGGGAGACACATAAAAGTTGTTTGATATATTTTTTTTCTTTTCCAGAGTTCAACTTTTTCAGAAATGGCATCCTCTCTCTATTTGTATTAACTGGCTTTTATTGAGATTGTAAGTTATGGACATAGTCTGCAGTACAGGACTGGTGGTTTTAATACAATAAAATGCTCATTTTAGCTTCTGTTCCCTATCGTGGCTCTGCTTGAGAGGCCTGTGCTTGAGTGTGCCCTGTGCTTTCTGTGGGCCTGAGGAACCCTAATCCTGTGCCATGGGTGCTGAGGCCTCGCAGGAAATCAGTGTGGCAGTGTAGCCCTCACTCGGCTGCAAGGATAAGGTCTGTCCACCCTGTCCTCCAAGCTCCCTCCCAGAAGGAGGAAGAAAGTTCCCACTGCCTAACAATGCCAACCAGTCTGGCCTCGGCAGCACCGCAAGTCCACTTTCCTGCTGCCCCGGCCATGGCCCTCCTCTCGCTGCCAGCACCTTGCTCCATCTGCCTGGCCTTGGCAGCACTGCAAGTACCCCCACCTGCTGCCCCGGCCATGGCCCTCCTCTCATGCCCAGCACCTGTCCAGGTGCCTTGCCCTGTAGGCGCACTGCTGCAGAGGAGGAGGGATAGCACAGGAGGCCTCATGCCAAGAAAGGCTGGGTCATGAGTCAAGATGCCCGAAGGCCCCAAAGTCAGCATCACCCACACCTGGTCACAGAAGGTCGAGGTGGATAGGACTCAGCACAGCTGTCAGGACAGTGGGTCCCTCCCAGTCAGGAGTCAGGGAGTCAGCTGGTCCTACCCATCCCTGATTGCCCTGAGCACCTGTGAATGTTGAGGGTGTGGTTCCTGCCCTTCCCGGGGTGTACTGTGCTGTTCATACACTGCGGCCCTGCAGGTTTGGGGGGATATGTCCCTCTTTGTGAGACACCCAAGCCATTAGGGGTAGGGGTGGCACTGGAAAGGGTTGCTGAAGGCAGCAGGTTTTAAGTCAGTGGGGAAAGCCCAGGGAGAGTGACCGGGAGATGAGGACATGGGTGGGCAGGGCTGGGTGGGGGCACTCTTCTCCCTTCCCTCTGTGGGGGTGGAGTAATACCTGCCATCTGACATGGGTCACGAGGATGGTGGCTGGGCTTTTGGGGTCCTTAGGCTGCCTGCCACCACCATCTAGAAAAGCTGTGCACCTGCCCTTCTGTGCCCTTCCTTTGTTAGCAAAGGGCCCGTGTGGGATGAAACCCTCCCAGGCAGCCTTGAGACTAGCTCCTGGCTGAATACCCTGGACCTGGCACTACCCAGCCCCAGTGGCTAGGTGCCATAGTGTGGGGACCTTGCTTCTAGCCAGGTCAGATTCACAGCTCCAGGATCACACATTCCAAGCTTTGGAACGGTTCTCAGTTCCTGCTGCAAGGCACAGAGGGTGCTGTGGGTTAGGCCTACAAGGACCTCTGCACCCAGGGTCCATCTTGCTGTAGCCTGTCCCACCTGCTGGCTCCTCCTTGATTCCCAGGAACGGCCACAGCAGCTGTCCTGAGCCCCTCTGAGCCACATCCTTGCAGTTCTTCCCCACCAGGCAGAGCCTGGCCAGGACTGGGAGACTCCCTGCCTCTGGATGTGACCCAGGCATTTCTGGGCAGGACCTCTAAGGCCCGTTTGGGGGGCAGGTGCCAAGCCTTCCTGCTGGCTGGGCTTGGAGCCTTCCCTACATACAGCTCCTGCTTCCATCTACTGCTCTTCTGTGCCTAGCTTTCTGGCAAAAATGTAAAAATCCATTTATTCAAAGTGCCTACAGTAGGGCTGGAAATAATGAGCTCTCAGGGGCTATACTATAATAGATAGCGCTGCCCTGCCCTCCTGGGGCCCCCACCCCCAGGTGCCTGGCTGGAGCCAGCACTGGCTCCCAGGGCTCCCTACAGGAGGAGGGTCACACAGGATGCCCCCAGCAGGGGCAGACATAGAGGTGCTGATGGCACCATTCTGGGCTGGCTGCCAGGCCAACAGGGTGGGCACAGGCCCTCTGTTGGGAGCCACACTGACTGACAGAGGAGCCAGGGCAGCGGCCGGGAGCCAAGCCGAGGCCTTCTGGGCAACCAGCCGCCAGGGCCTCCTCCCATGGCAACGCCGCTGCAGTGAGCTCAGCAGTAACCGGCACACATCCCGGATTCACCCTGTCCCTGCCCCACCATTGGGAAGGGCCTGGTCAGTGTACAGATATCTGTGGCAACTTGAGGGGACCCAGAACTAGGTAAGCCCTGAGAGGGCAGGTAGAAAACATGACCCTGGGCTGTGTGGGCCCAGGCAGGCCTTCCTGGGAGAAGCTGGCTGCTGGCTGCTTACCACGAGCACCTCTGCATCCCACGACCCCACTCATGGGCTTTGGCTGGGGGTCCTATCCTGCCTCCTCCACTGGGGTTTGCCTCTACCCCCACCCCTGCCCCAGACTGGTCCCATGACACAGCACTGACCATCCAACTGCAACTCTCACTTTCCTGGGTTGCAGGTGGCAGTGGCTGTGTGTCCCACCTGGTGAGGCGGCAGAGTGGTACAGGGAACTGGAGAAAAGGCCATAGGCCCCAGGGGTCAGCCCAGGAGGAGCTGGCCAGTGGGTGGATGAATGAGGCTGCTGGGCACAGGAGGTGACTGGACAGACAACAGGACACAGGGGGGAGAGTGTTCAAACCATTTACTAAGCAAATTCTTAACCTCCTGACTCCCACCCCACAAGCTGCAGAGGAGAGCAGGGCCCCAGCCAGCTCTATTCTCTGACACCCACAAGCCTTGCCTGGGGAGCTGCTGGGGATGAGACAGGGAGGTTGTGTCCTGGGCTCGGTCCGGGTCCATCAGCACAGGACCCTGACAGGGTAACAGCGGCTGTGCACATCCCTCAGGCTGGGGTGATGTGCCTCTGGACTCCGCTGGAGGCCCCTGGGGAGTCAGTTGCCAAGAGGAAGCAGCGCCTTCGGTCTGGTGCCCACTCTGCCAATGAATTCCAGCACGCGCCCAGAGAAGGAAAACGAATCAGGTCCTTGCAACTGTGTGTCGTCTGTCCCGGCCGGAGAGGCCGCGCTGCGGGCGCCCGCAGGAGCCGGCCCACGGGCTGCGGCCGTGCGCGCAGCCGGTAGTCCCACGGAGCCTGTGCGCGGCGCGACCCGGCCGAGGCCGCTGTCTGCGCGGGTTCCCCAGGCCGGCCCGACGGCTCGCGGACGTGGCTGGCAGGAAGGGCCCAGCCGTGCCCGGCGCCCTCAGACGTAGTTCTTCTTGTCGTAGTCGCCGCTGGCCGTGGGCCGCCGCGGCGCCGAGTACTTGACCGGGAAGCTGAAGTCGGGGCGGCCGGCGCAGGCCCAGGCGCCGCAGCACACGAGGCCACCTCCGCACATGAGCAGCGCCGAAGCCGCCCAGCCGATGTACAGCGCCGCGCCCAGCTCGTACTTCTGCGACACGGGTACGGTCGGGTCGTAGAACTCGCGGACCACGATGTTGGCGAACCAGCAAAGCGGCACGAGCGCCAGCAGCCCGCACAGCGCGTAGAGCGCGCCGCCCGTGAGGGCTACGCGCGCCTTGGCCGGGCCTGCGGGCACGCAGGTGGTGCACTGCGCGCCCGCCAGGGTCACAAAGAGCGCCACAAGCGCCAGCAGCACCGCGCCCACGGTGAGCGCCCTCGCCGCCTGCACCTCGGTGCTCAGCGCCAGCACGGAGTCATACACCTTGCACTGCATGTGGCCTGTGCTCTGCACCACGCACGACATCCACAGCCCCTTCCAGGTGGTCTGCGCCGTCACGATGTTGTGGTCCAGGAAAGCGGTCACCTGCCACATGGGCAGCCCGCACGCCAGGATCAGGCCCACCCAGCCCACCAGGCACAGCACCAGGCCCATGATTTCCAATGCGGCCGACCCCATGGCTGGAGGCTAGATGCGTGCTCTACGGCCCCCGGCGGGCGCGGCGCTGCCTGGGCCGGTGCGGCTCGGCGCCCGGCGCGGGCCGGTTCCTTTGCACTTCCCTCCAGCCGTCCGCTAGCCCCGAGAATCGTGGTACCGTCTCGATTCTGCTGGCGCCTCCCGGGTCTCCCCATTTGAAGGCTCCGGGGTGGACTCTGCCCGCCCGGCCTCAGCCCCCCCGGCCCGAAGCAGCCAATCCGCGCGCGGCCCGTCGTCTCACAACCAATCATAGGCTCCCCGGCAGTACCAGTTGGGTGAACAACAGCTGGTGGGTGGGGGTAGCTGAGGCGCTGGACGGCCCCCAGCACCGCCACCGCCCAGACCCCACCCGTAGTCGTCCGGGTCGCCGCCGAGCGTGTTCCTGGTTGGCCTGGGGCACTTCGCCACTTCAGCCACCCTAGGTCGCCCGGTGTGCACCACTTCCTCCACCCCCAAATCCCGACTGTGCCTGATGCCCCTTTCCTGCTAGAGCAGCTCCATTCCTCCCTGACCAAGGTCTGCGGGAGCCTCCACCCCATCACCAGCGCTGAAAGGCCTGCCTGGGACGCTCTCCGGGTCGCTGCTCCCGGGGTAGACGCAAACAGCTGGGCCTCCCTCCAGCGCGCTCTCACTCTGGGTCGCTCCCGCCCCATGCCAGGCCTGCGGGGTCAAGTCCAGGGGCCCCGCCTCACCGCCCACACATTCTCACCGCCTCTCTGGAGCCTCAGCCCCAGCACAGGGGCCCTTCCACGGTCTGGAGACCCGCGGCAGGGCTTTCCAGAACTCTCAGCCTTGTGAGGTCTCTTTTTCCTGCGGCGCTGCCCACCCCCATCCTCCTGGGATGGGGGTGGGGGCCCAACTCAGGCGACACCACTTCGGGAGGTCCCCAGTGGGCAGCACACCGGTTGTGCTCCCAGGGGCAGCGGTGGCCTCGGGCTTGGCGGCCCCTCTGGCCCTCAAGTGAAGGGACGCGGAGGGGCTGTGCCTGCCTTCCCACCATTTGTGATGGTGTCTTAGCATCCCAGCCCCGAGGCCACCCTCCGGAAGTCTACTTGGAGTTTCTTGGCTGGGAGGAAGAGCCCCCAGCCTTGCTAGAGGAGGGAGGCGCGGGATTTCCGGGCATTCTTCTGCACAATGGCCTAGCCATTTCTCGAAAGGTCCACTGGGGTGGACACTCCAGTCCCCCTGAGGCTCAAGTGGGGGCACCAGGCCCTGAGGCCCGCAAACCCATGGGGGCACAGCCCCTCTGCTTGCAGCCCAGTCTGTTCTCCCAGCCCTGGACTGAGGCCACTGAACACCAGCCCTTTTATTTGCCCAAAGTGCACAGCTCCGTGGAGAAAGCATGGCCAGGCCCATCACAGACATGGGGCTTTGATAAATCTCCCTTCCTGGACCCAATCCCTTCTCCCTCTTCAGATGGCTCTGAAGGAGGTAAATGCTAGTACCTGGGTCATCCAGCATGGGTAAGTCTGCTGGGCCTGGGGCTGGAGGACAGTCTTTCCCCACCTGTTGTCTTCTATGGCTAGGGCTCCCAGGGCTACTGTCTCCTCTCAGGCACCAGCTCACTTGCTGTCTTCCTCCTGCTGCAGATCTGATATCCCCTCCCCTGTCTATTCCAGAGGCCCAGCAGAACCACCCACTCCACACTTTTGATCCTGCTCCGCCCTGGCCCAAGTCCAGGGGCCTTCCCAAGGTCCCCACCTTCCATGCCACCATCTTCCCAGGATAACTGCGGCAGCCTCCTCAGGTCATCTAGGCTCCACTCTTGCCCGCTGCCCAACCCCACCACCACCACGGACCCCTCTCCTGGGTTACACTCTGCCTAAAACCCTCCAAGGCTTGAGTTGCCTGTGGACAAAGAACTGACTCCCAGAGCAGCCTGGACGGATGTGCGTCTGCCTGCACTGGGACTGACCAGTCCAGCCACTAGACTCAGCATGACCCTGACAACACATCCTGTGCTTGCCAGGTTCACCTTTCTCTAACTGGCCTGTCTCTCACCTACAGCCTCCTCTTCTTGCAGTGTATTTCCTCCCTCTCCTGCTTTTACTCACTGGTTTCTAGGAATAATAAGCCTTAACACAATAGCACCTGCCCCAGATGGAGGCTTCCTGCACCCGGCCAGACAAGGTAGGATGGCAGCCAGCCCCGGGCTCTCCCCCTTCACCTCTCGGGTATCCTTTTCTCCACCACTTTGGTCTATCCTCAGCTTATCTGTCACCTGAGGGAGCTCATATCTCTTTGATGACAGCCTCACAGTGTTTCTTTGACCCAACAGAAGAGCCTTAGACTCTACCCATCACAATCTGATTTCTAGACTGACAACACCATGCAGGTCATGGGCTCAGCCTTCAGTGGAGCCACACCACTGCAGAAAGGCCCAGATAGGGCAGCGGGGGGTGACACTTCCCTATCTCCCCCCAAACTCACCCCAGATGGAGGGTGAGCTCCAAGTGGCCCAGCCCAGGGGAGTGTGAGGAGGGCACCCTTCCTCACATAGACTTCCTACTACTTGTCGAGCACTGTCTCCAAGCAGAGCACACAGGAAGCTCCTGCCCTTGCAGAGCTGAGAGTAACCTGCCCGCCTGTAAATGGGCAGAAAAGAGTGAAGAAGGCCCCTCTTGAGGAAGTGACAGTTCAGCAAGGATCCGGGGAAGAGATCCCAAGCAGAGCAGAAGCAGTGACCTGTGGGAAGGAAGTCCATGTTGGAGGAGCTGGTGTGGCTGGAGCCCCAAGTGGGCCAGGGCCTGCAGACCAAGGACAGAGGTGTCCTGGCTGGGCAGGGACGTGAATCCCTCATCTCTGGTGAGGGGCCCTTGAGGCAAAGCGCTGGCCAAGGCCACCTGCTCACCCACAGCTATTGTTCTGCTTCCCAGGGGAAGTACGCAGGATCTTATTAATTGTGCGACAGAAAAGGCCTGCGTCCGCAGAAAACCAAGTTTATCTCGAGCAGCTGCTGGCTGACCCTGCCCTAGGGTGATCCGGTGACCTTCCATAGACAATCTAAATTTAGGCTCCTGATTCCTGGGGCCTGGGGTTTGGGAAACTCCAACCAGATTTCATTCTAAGGGAGTGAAGGGCAATACTTCTTCTTACAGCTTAGAAACAGTCAAAGATATTTTCTTCCAGTTCAGCAGATGTTTGCAGAGAGCATGACCCTGTGCCCCAGCAGGCCAGGCAGCAGCAGTTTGCATCATCCTGAGTCACTGACAACCGCACTGTGCTTGAGGTGTCCCCTATAAGGGAGGGGGTGCGGGTGACAGTGGTTATTTGATGAGCACCAGAGTGGTTAAGAACTGGTATGGAGGCTTGGTGCCTGTAGCTCAGCAGCTAGGGCGCCAGCCACATACACTGGAGCTGGCAGATTTGAATCCAGCCCAGGCCTGCCAAACAACAATGACAGCTAGAACCAAAAAATAGCCAGGCATTGTGACGGGCGCCTGTAGTCCCAGGTACTTGGAAGGCTGAGGTAAGAGAATTGCTTAAGCCCAAGAGTTTGAGGTTGTGAGCTGTGATGCCACTGCACTCTACTGAGGAAACATAGTGAGACCTTGTCTCAAAAAAATAAAAAGAGCAGATTTGGAGTCAGACTCACCCATACATGCAGGGAACTTTCTGGACTAGTGAGCTGACCTCTCAGCCTTAGTTTCTCCCACCCTCCACCTCCAGGTGGTGGTGGCTGTGAGGTTGCAGGGAAGGCTGACAGCAGTCTCAGGGCACTCTTGCCAGTGCCAAGCACCCTCTGGATCCCTGAGGCCTCCTCCCTAGCCCCCTTGACCTTCACATCTCATTTGACCCCTGGCCCATCTCTCCGAGTAGTTGTCACTGGCTGTTTGTCAAAATCGTAGGCCACTATGACTTTAACTTCCCTAGTGGGCAGGGAAGTAGGGGGCAGAAAGCTCAGGTAGGCAGAGCCCTAAAGCCTCCTTGCTTCAAGGATCACATTGGATGGTAGTTTGTGGTCTCTGCTTAGAACTCCCCAGGAGCCTAGGGGAGTTCTGTCACAGCCCTCGTAAAAGGGTATCAGTGCCCCCAAGGGCCAAGAGCAGCACTCTGCCACCTCCGCCCTCATGTTTGCATCCTGCGTCACCTTCTTGTCCGCCTTCCTTCCCCCACTTTTTCTTTCTCTGCCTGCTGCATTTTGTAACAATTTTATACACTTTTACACTTAACATCATAGAGTAATTCTGGATGCTCCTTTTTCCTCTCCACATCATGTTGCAAACACCTTCCTACTTCATGAAGAACACTCTCAGGATTACAGTTGTTTACAGCTGCCCCTGGAATCTGTCCCCACCCCTCATGGGGACAGAGTGTGTGAGTGGGTACTTTGTTCTGAGGTTCTGTGAAATGGGGATGAGGATGGGCTGGACATTAAAGGGACACTAAAAGACTTAGTGGAAAGCCCTTTCTGGCCCAAGGTCAATGCTGAAGTGTGGCCAGTGACATAATTATTCCAATAATATTCTATCCCTCAAGGCTTAGTTTTGCAAATGATAAATTTTTCTATTATAAATAATACTGTTACAAATGTCATTATTCATTTCCCTTGGCATTTTGAACTATTTCCTCAGGTTGTGTCACTTGGACCCCTTAGCTGATTGTACATTCTCACTACCTGTGCCCACAACAGGCATCCCCAGGTTTAAAAGTTTACTAATTGGATAGGTGGAAAATGGTATCTTATTTTTAATTTGCATTTTTGAAATGATAATTTTTTTCTATTTTATTATATATTTTCATTTTTATTTCCTCTGGTGAATTGTCTGTATACCCACATAAATTCTGAACAAGGGTGTTTTTTCTCACTTTATATAGTAGAAATGTTAACTTACTATCATGTATGTGGCAGATATCTTTGGCTGTTTGCTACTTATATTTGTTTGGTTATTGTTGTTGTTTTCATTTTGAGATAGGGTCTCTCTGTGGAGCCCAGGCTGATCTCGAGTCTCTTAATCCTCCCACCTCAGTCTCCTGAGTAGATGGAACTATGGGCATGTGCCACTGAGCCGGCAAATTATTGACAATGTTTTTAAGATATTATACAAATTTAAATTTTGAATATTTAAATCTATTAAGGCTTTCTCTGTGTGGTTTCTATCTTTTTTTTTTTGTTTTTGAGATAGAATCTCACTTTGTCACCCTTGGTAGAGTGCAGTGGCATCGTCATAGCTCACAGCAACCTCAAACTCTTGGGCTCAAGTGATCCTCTTGCCTCAGTTTTTCATTTTTTTAGTAGAG